GGGCCCTCCCTGGGTCTGACGAGGACCCTGGGAGCAGGCAGTCCAAGGAAGGCAACGGAGGCCCTCCTGAATGTTCCCTAGGGCTGGTGGGACCTCGTGAAACTGCCCAAGGCCTGCTGAAGCCTCAGGGAACCGCCAGGCCCAGCAGAGGGGTCGGGGCAGGCCAGGAGCAGCCTAGGGAGGGCTGGTGCCCAGCCCTTGCTCCCCACTCCCCTCACAGGCCAAGGACTCTCACTGGAGACACTTTTCTACCGGAAACTGGCGGCTCCAGACAGCAGCCTGGGCATCAGGGCAGCCAGCTAGCAGCCAGGCCCTTTGCCCAGAAGGAACAGGACTGTGCTGGCCACAGGCGGGGGTGGCACAGCAAGGGCTCCTGCCAAATGCTGGAAACCAGGAGGCTCAAGAGCAAGGTTCCCTTCTGTCCTTCCAGAACCTTCCAGAACCTTGTTGCCTACGGGACAGCTCTCCAAGCTCCACTCTCCCCACTGCCCAGGCCCCCAAACTCCATGCTCTGTTGTCCTTTGATTCCACCCCAGACCCTCACTCACTGGCATGCCTCCTGTGCCTGAGGCGTCTTTCTTCCTCCTCCTCCCTCCCAACTCCTCTCTGTCCTGTCCTTTTATTCTAGGTTCCAACCTGGAAGCCAGCTCCTCCAGGAAGCCTTCCCTGACTGCCCCACCGCCCCCAAGGCTGGGTTCCACGTCCCTCTGCACTCCCAGCCCTTCTTCCCTCCATCACGGCCTTAGGTAGGGAGGTTTGAGGGGCCTGTTTGCTCATCCCTCTGTCCTCAATTAAGGGAAGCGCTCATCTCAGACTCAGCTCTGAGACCCCGTGATGCCCAGCCAAGCTCCAGGCACTGAGGAGTCCAGCAAAGATGGAGGGCTGAACATAGGAATGTGTGAAAGGATGGAGGCCATCTCCCGTCCTGTTTGGGGGAAAAGCAGGGGCTCGGGAGCCAGAAGTGAGAGTTTGAGCCAGAAACCAGGGGAGGGACCTTGGGCAAAACCCCCTAGCCTCCTCCGGGGCAGCGAGGTGGGGTACATAGGCAGAGCCAGCAGAATGGCCCCAGCTGTGGCCCAGCAGGGGGCTTCCAGAGTACAGACACCTGGAGAGAGGCCTCCCCAGGGGCCCTGCCCAGCGTTGCCAGCCGAGACCCCCCACTGGGCTAGTCTTGAAGGACTGGAGTCCTGACGGCCACCCTCAGGCCTCAGGGTGGGTGGGCTGGCCACCCAGAGGAGACCAACAAGGCCCCAGCAAGGACACCTGGGTCTGGCACCTGGAGGGTGTCGCAGCCCTGCCCTGCCGGCCACTGGCCTCTGCCTGCAGGTGGAGTAAGAGCACTCCTGATCCTGGCCCGCATCGCCTGCATCTGGGCTGCTTCCTTGCAAGGCTGTGAGGGCCTTTCATCCTATGGCGTCCCAGGTGGCTGCAGGATTCCAGCTGTGCTCAGAGAGGCACGGAGCCCAGACCACAAGAGGATAGGCCAGCCAGGGGAGCTGGCCAGGCAGTTCTGGCCCAGGCACTGCTCACCTCTGGGAGTGGTGCCCGTGCAGGGCAGCTTGCTGGTGGGCTCTGGGCCCTGGGTCCCCCTGACCAGTGCATTTGGCTGACCATCCCCAGACCTCTGCTGGGCACTGCTGTGGGTGCCAGGCCTGCAACTCCCTGGGCTCACCAAGATTCCCAAGTCCTGATTCCCAAGGGTCCTGGGACGCCCAGGCCGGGCAGCTCTGAGTTTCCACGTCCTGCAAGACCAATGACCTGGTGAGCAGGGATGTGACATCCCAGAGAAGAAAGGTGGGCACACACTCAGACCCAGAGGAGGGAAACAGGCCAGGACGGCAGCAGGCGAGCTCCAGGCTGACATCCAGCTGAACTTCCTGGCTCCTGGCGGCCCTGCTCTGGCTCAGCGCCTCCCATGAGCGGCACCGGCTGCCTGCTCAGGGAGCGCACACTTTACCTGCCTGCCTGACTGTGAGGAGTCCAGCCTCCACTCACCTCTCTTCCTCTCCCTGGCCCTCTGCCTCCCAGAGCACAGCCCTGCCCGCCCCTGGCCTCCCAAGCCCAGGTCACCCCTCTCTCCTCCCTTCACTCTGCCCATGCCCTCCTGAGCCTCTCCCACCTCCCAGCTCCGGGAGTTAGGAAGTTCACCAGATGTCTGACCCGGATCCCGCCTGCTGTTTCCTGCTCTGTCCTTGGTGAAGATAAAAGTGTTGCTGTCCTCTCCCCTCTGAGACTTGCCTTAGCCATTCCCTTCCCACTCCTCTCTGCACAGCCTTGGACAAGGTTCCAGGGCCTCAGTTTCCCCTTGTCGGGGGGCATATGAGTTGGACAGAAGGAAGAACCCAGAGGACTTGAATTCAAACCCTGGTTCTGCCTCTCACCAGCTGTGTGACCTTGGACAGAACCCTTTATTCTCTGTACCTCGGTTTCCCCATCTATAAAAGGAGCTAGCGCTGACCTATTTGGGGAAGGGGCGTTGTGAAGGTTGTGGGTGCCTGCGTACCAGACCCAGTGACTGGCACAGGGGGTGTTCAGTATTCCATGGACCTGCTCACTTCCAAGGACCCTCTGCCTGCTCGAGGGGCATGGGCAGTCTCAACAATGAGACCCCTACCCATCGGGCTGAGAGCTGGGTTGGAGGGTGAGGGAAAGGGCAGGAGCCCTGGCAAACATGCTGGGAAAGGTGGGCATTATGGGAAGAAGGGCTGTGGGCAAGGGATGGTAGGTGAAAGGGGATGCCAGGCTGGAGCAAAGGCTGGGCTGGTGGGCGGGGATTGGGGGCGGTGGGAAGCACAATGGGCAGCTCTGGGGAGGGTGGTTTGCCGGCTGGGCAGGGGGCTTTGCCTGGGGGCCGGGTAGAGCCGGGCTGTAGAAGATGAGGCAGAGGGTCAGGAAGGACTCCAAAGACCACCCAAGGAGCAAGCCTCTGCCCACCAGGGCCACAAGGCCCCCGTGAGCTCCGGCCACCAGTCAGCAGCTGCGTGGACAGCCCGGGCAGCCTGTGAGGGGGCAGTGTGGGAGACCCAATGCTAATGGTCAGCCCATGAGCACAGGGTGGGCAGGGGCCTCCTCCAGACAGAGAAAGAGGGAGCCAGGCCCGGCCAGGCACACTTACTCCCCTACGCCCATTCCACAGAGAGGGGAACTGAGGCTCAGAGCCGTGGAGGAGTCAGTCCAAGCCCTTCCGGTCCCCAAGGCTGCCTTGGTCAGCACTTCCACCTCCAGAATGGGCTGCCACTCAGGGCAGGAGAGTGGAGTGAGGAGCCGGAGCCCCTGGAGGTCAGGGCCAGGCATGAGCCACCCTGTCCCCAGAGACCAGCCCAGGGCTTGGCCTCCCGCAGGGCTGAACAAGCCAATGAGTGGGTGAATGAAGGAACGAGTGGGTGGCAGAGATGCACCCCCAGAACTCCAGGGGTCCCTGCTAGTGTCCCCAAGTCCTACGGAGCCCACAGGATTCATTATTGCATTGGAGGGTCTGTGTTCTCTTGAGCACAGCAGAAGGCAAGCCTGGAGAAGCAACATCCCCGGCAAATGCGGGGAGCCAGGAAGGCGCCAGGGATGCCCAGGGGCCAGCTGAGCACAGAGCGGACTAGAGCCAAGGGGGTGTGGGAGGCTGTCACTCTGGGAGTGAGGAGTCACCGTGGCGGGGCGGGCATGGGGCTGTCTGGAGAAATGCTCCCGAGATACCAGCCTTAGAGGCAGAGCCGGGGGCCGGGGGTCAGGTGGGCCCCCAAGCCAGCTGGGAGTGTGGGCTCGACGCCTCGAGCAGGGCCCCTGGGAGGATGTGCTGAGTGGCCCTGGGAGGCCAGGGCTGGGTTGAACCACAGCCAAGAAATAAGTACAGTCTGGGCACCAGGGCCGTGGCATTCTCCGAGCTCTTTCCTCATTCCTGGCCCTGTGGGAGTAGCCGGACCCCGGCGTTCCGAGGCAGCCACCACCACGGATTTGCTTACCATCTCGTGGGGAACCGGGGCCTCCTGCCAAACCGCCCAGCCCAGGCCCAGACCCCGCAGGTCCCACTGACTGCCAAGTCCTGGCCACCTCCTGCTTTCAAATGGGGAAACTGAGCCCTATACTGGGGAGAGCCACCCCACAGGATGCCCATGCCTGGGTGTCGGGAAGGTACAGGGCTTGGACTCCAAGTCCAGGGTTCTTTTGCATCTATCTCCCCCTTTCCACACCCTGGAGGGTCATGACCCCCTTGGAAAGCCCTCCTCGTAGCCCCTCCACTGGCACCTGGGTCTGGGGCCAGGCTCTGTGGGTGCCCAGGTGGGCACCCTGCAGACAGGGGCTGTTTGATCAGCGGTTCCACCCGATGCCAGGCTGCCAGGACAGCGGGCAGTGGCCAAACCGGCCCCGCCGCATGCCTTCCGGCCCTCAGCAGGAATGCCATTCATCCTCCTGTGCAGCAGGGCTACCGCGGGCAGGCGCAGAGGCCAGGTGGTGGGCCTCCCGGAGAAGCGGCAAGGTCTAGCGGGCAGCCTTCCCGCGCCTGGAGAGCCAGGAGTGTCCCAAGGGGGCACTTGAGCCAAAACCCTTCGTTAGACACAGCTGGACAGACCCGCAGGAAGCCTGAGGCCAGCTGGAGTCAGCAGGAGAAGGGGGACACAGCGGGAGACAGATGGGGCCAGGGCCTCCTGGCTGCGGGTCCCCCCACCCCAAGCTCCCTGTTCTCCTGAGAGCAGCCCCACCCAGCCCCATGAGTCAGCCCTGGCACCAGGCCCATGGCCCTCCTGTCCCTTCAGCCTGAGCCCAGGACGTCCAAGGGGCCTCAGGGTCTGTGTCCAGCCCCTACCAGTGGCCCTTGCTGGGTGGGGCAGGTCTGAAGGGGACATCGGTGCAGCTCCAGACCAGCCAGAGGGAAGGGTGAGGAAGTCTGAAGGCGGGGCATGTGAGGGCCGAGGGGGCTGGGGGCTCGTCCTCTGTGGATGGCACATGTGGCCCCACCCCCGGGACAAGAGCTGCAGGGGCGTCGCGTGTGGTCCACACACACTCACTGGTCTGGTTCCAGCTTTATTGGAGCGGGGCACTCCCCTCCAGGGGAGGCCGGCACAGCCCGTCAGAAACCCACCGGCTCTCCTGAAGTGGGGACACTGCAGGGACACGCCGAGCCTCGGCCGCCACCGCCCCTGCCCAGATCACATGCACCCCCCGCCTCACCTGAGGGAAGGGCGGCTGCTGACAGACTCTTAGGAAGGGCGGCCGGGGGACAGTGCGCATGACTCAGTGGCGTCAGGGGCCCCAAGAGTCTGTTTCAAGCAGAAGGAGGAGCCTGGCTTGGGGGACACCATGCGGCCGTCCCCCTGCCTCCAGTACCCAGTGTAGGTCACAATAATTTAAAAGACACTATAGACATTTCGACGCTATATAACAATATAAGTTAACCAGGTTCCTTAGCAGAGGACGCCAGGCCTGTGGACTCAGGGGTGTCCTGGCACCTGGGGAGGAAGGGGGCCAGGACTGGGGGGGCCTGGAAGCTCCCAGGACAGCAGCTGATGGAGTGTCCTGGCATCATCAGGGGCATGTGGGGCGCACGCCAGGGCCCAGACAATGTCACTCACCCCAGGCTAATGTCCAGCCCACTTGGCTGGTCAGCTGCCTGAGGACACATTTCCACTGGTTTCTATAAGAAAATACCCTAAATTCGGGTGGGGACACGTGGGCAGTGGAGGGCGCCCCAGAAGCTGGTTGCTCATCATCCCCTTTCTGGTAAGTCACCTCCTCTGTGCCTCAGCCTCCCCGGGGAGCGATGGGAGCGTTCGCAGACACGTCCAGCCCGGAATCTTCGGTTTCTGATCTCTCTCCGCCCTGCACATGGTTTGGAACTGAACAGGACCCCTTCCCTTCCCATCTCCAAGATTTTGGGGCAAGTCAGACTTCAAGGGAGGGTCTGTGTGGTGTGCAGGCCCCAGGGGAGGTGTCTGGAGGGAAGGCATCTGCTGGGACAGCAGACAAGGCCCTGGCAGCGTGACATCCTGGATTCGAGTTTTCTCAGCATCGGAGTCAGGGCGAAAGGACCAGGACTGGGCAAGGAGACCACCGGAGAAACCCTCAAAGGCGGCTCTCGGGGGTTTGGGGGTGATACAGACACCAGGGAGGCTGGCAGCGGGTCAGGGGCACAGCCAGACTCCTCAAGGCATGAGGTCCATCTCACGCCACCCTGGGCGTCCCCAGAGCACGTCCTCCAGGGTCAGGAGCCCTGGGCTGGGGGTCAGGATGTCCGAGCAAGGCCAGAGCCCCAACTCACAGCCTCAGGGTCTCTGGCCAGTGCTCAAGCCACTCTGGGTTCAGTGTTCCCATCCATCAAATGGGACAACAGCCCTGACCGGCCCCCCATCTCAGCCCCAGCACAGCGCTGTCCTGGGGGTCTGGCTGGCTTCAGAGTGGGAGGGGGCTCTGTAAACTGGGGGGTGCCAGGCTGGCTGGGGGCTGGGAGAGCAACAGCATGAGGGAGGGGATGTGGCACTCCTGGAACCTGACACTGGTGACATTTTGATTTGTTTATATGATTTTCTAAAAGAAGGGAAGAGGGGCCGGAGGTCCCTGTCTGTGGCCACCTCACCTGGGGATCACACACACACAGCCACCTCCCCTGGGGCAGGGCCAGGATGCACAGGGATGCTCCCTTGGGTCCCGAGGGGCCAGGAGATGAAGCAGAGAGCAGCAAGGGGATGCGCGAACACAGGGTATAGAGTTAGGACCCGCTATGCCTTAGTGCTAAGAATCCTCTTCTGATACTAAGAAAACATAAATAATTTTTGTCAACATCTGCCCAGACCACCCCGGAGCCAGGCAGCCGATGCAGCCTGGGAAACTGTCTTACAGGAGGCTGGCGGCACAGCATTTCTGTGTCTGGGCCACCAGGCGGGGGAGGGGGACACTCGGAGTCTGGTGTCCCTTTGCTTTCCAGGATACGTGTATGTCCGTGAGGTTCACTTTCCCGGAGAGAAGAAAAGGAAGTCAGTGGCCCCGTCAGGGACCCAGAGCCGTTGGTCTGGCCCTCTCGGCTGCTGCGTCGTGGGCACTGTTTTGCCCCAGGAAGTGACGGGGATGGCAGGAAGGAGCATCTGGGGGCAGGGAGAAGGTGCCAGCCCCAGGGGGAGCCCGCCCCTGCCCGCCTGGAGCTTCCACCTCCTCGGGCCGGCCGCCGGCGGAGCAGGGGGGACCAGGAGAGGATGTGCAAAACGCCGCCAGGTGGGGGCTGGTGCCTCGCGCCGCGGGGCCGCGCTCACTTGCAGGTGAAGACCTCGGTGCGCTCGCTGCACGTGTTGCACTTGACGAAGCAGCACCAGTGGAACTTGCAGTTGCACTGCCAGACCTTGGTGTACTGGTGGGTGTTGTAGCCGCGGCCGCAGCACATGGTGTCACAGCCGTCGGCGCCGGGCGAGGTGCGGTTGCACAGCCGGCCCTGGGTGCCCACGCTGCCCGTGGCCGCATCCTCCTCGCAGTAGTTGGGCGACTTCTCGATGTACACCAGGTCCGTCTCCATGGGCTTCTGGTAGCTGCGCAGTTGCTTGATGCGTAGGAAGGTGGGCTGCCGCAGGCGGCTGGCCCGCACCACCTCCACCTGCACAGCGGCGTTGTACTTCTCCTTGAGCAGGTGGCCCACCTCACGGAACTTGGGCAGCGTGGTCCAGCACGTCTTGGTGGTGCACGAGCCCGACACGCCGTGGCACTTGCACTCCAGCTTCATGCGCTCCTCCAGGACCTGTGGTGACAGAGCAGGGGCTCAGTGTGAGCTTGACCCGGGCCTGGGTGCCGTCCAGGTCCCCCCAACCTCCAGGTGACCTGGAGCCAACTCCCCCACCTCCCGCTGTGTGACCACAAAAAAGTATCTCCCCTTCTCTGAGCCTCCGTCTCCTCATCTGTCAAATGGGGCTGCCGACACAGGTCCCTACTGCACAGGGCCTTGTGAGGGCCCCGTGAGAATATGCAGGACTTGGCAGAGCTCGGCATCCATCTGTCAAACATGCTTCACTAAATTCACACAAGAATCCTTCAGGAAGCTGCGGGTGGACACACTGATGAGGAAACTGAGGCTCGGGGCACCGTGGGACTTGTGCAGGTCAGAAGGCAGCAGGTGCCTGCACCCAGCCAGGCCGGCGGGAGGCGTCTCCCGCTGGTACCAGGCCCAGCAACAGTAAGTGCCTAATAAGTGCAGCTCCCCCACCCCATCTCTTCCAACACGTCCTCATGCCTGGTGTAGGGCCTGGCATGTAGTCGGTGCTTAATAAATGGCTGTTCAATGAAAGCGTGGTATGGCGTGGAGCTCTGTACACATTTGATGGAGGACAGAGCGGGGGACAGGCGAGTGCATGGGTCAGCGGGGCCCAGCCATGCCTTCCTCTGGGAAGCTGACCCCCGACCGGCATTGTTCTTTCCCCCCAGCCCCTGGGGGCCCATGATGGGCGCAGCCGTGTGTTTTCCTGGGGCCTCCCTCCATGGCCCTGGAAGGCGGATTCCCAGCGCCAGCCCTGAACCCGGGTACTCATTTACCCGGATCGAAGGGCCCTGCCAGCAGCGCCTGATTAAAGACAGGGGATCGTTAGCTGCTGCCCTGCGGCTGCAGAAGGGCCATTTGTCAGCTGTCCGAGCTCCCACTGGCCTCACTTCCCGCACTTCGGGGGCCCCAGCCCTGAAGGAACTTGGCTGCGCTCTGCCCCCTGGGCCAGAACCCCAGCCTTGGCCCAGAAGAGGAGACCTTCAGCGAATGAATGAATGAATGAATGAATGAGAAAGAGAGAGAGAGAAACAACCCACAGGGCCGGCTACAGCCCCAATCATTTTCCCCACCCTGGTGCATGGGGCCCTTGGCCTCAGCGAGGACGTCCAGGACCCACAGCCCACTGTGAGAAACAGCAGGAAACCGACACACAAGATGGCAACACGCAGGGACTGGGAGAGCCCGTGGGAGCCTGACCCTGCCCAGGGTGAGGTCGCCTGGGGCAGAGGCTTCCTGGAGGAAGCGGTGCCTGCGCTGGGCATTGATGGAGAAGGAGGAGTCATTATGCAAGGAGGAGGGCTGTTCCAGGAGGGGCGCAGCAGGAGCAAGGGCTGGAGAGCTGTCCCCATCACCACGAGGAGAAGATTCAGCCCCAGTGAGTGGCCTGGCGCTGGGTGGGCCCTGAGACCAGTGACTGGCGCTCGGGGTGGGGTCCTCTGCTCCTGCGTGGATGACGTCCTGGGGCCGAGACTGGAGAGACTGGAAGGCCGAGGCTGATGCTCCATCAGGGGAGGGCCGGGCAAAGGGGAGGGCCCCGTGTCCAGAGGAGGGGAAGGGGGCCAGGTTTGGGAACATTCAGAACTGGAATTACAGGGCCTGGTGACTGGACAGTGGGGTGTCTGGGTCGAGGGCACAGGCCAGTAGGCTGGTCTGGGGGTCCGGGCGAAGGGGAGGACCACCCCCAGGGGAAAACTTACATCTGGGCCTCCTCTGCCTCCTGCCCCTCTCCCTGCTCCTGTCTACCCCAGTCAGACCTCTCCCTCCCCCGCCCTTACCCCAACCCCAAGTTCTCTTTGCTTGGACCCTGCCCTCCGCTTAAAGCCGCTCCCTCCACCAAGCTGCTCTTCAAGGCCCAAAAGCTTCCCATGTCCTGGCCACACTGCCTGCCACGTGCGCCCGTCAGGCCAGGAGCCAACCAGGAGGCGCCCTTCTCAGAGGCCCCAGCCAGGGGAGTGTTCACCCTTCCCCAGGTTGCTGACCCAGGGGACTGATTCCTCCTCAGGTGGACCGTGATGGCCAGAGACCCGGCAGGGGAGTCCAGGCTAGAGGTTGCACAGGCCAGGTGGCCCAACCTCAATTGCCTGCTGGACGGCTGCCTCCACTTCGCTCTGTTGTCCGCCCTGAACCCCTCCCCTCTACCCCTTCCCTCTGTGCCCGTCTCCCTGGGCAAGCCAGTCTCCACCTGCTGGCCCAGGGATGTCTGGATCCTGAGCAGCCAGGCCCGTGATTGTCAGCAGATAAAGCTGACTGGGCAGCTGTTTGCAGAGCAAGGGGCTGCATCCTCGCTCGGCTGGGTCCCCTGGGCCTCAGCCTCTCCTGGGAGGTGACCACAGCATTGAAGAATGTGCCGTTTCCGTCTCCAGCGCCCTCTCAATAAGAGCGACAGGGATGGTGGCACCAGCCTCTGTGGCCCCAGGAGACCACCTGGGAGGATGCAGAGAGACCCAGCCCTGCCCAGAGGAGCTGGGGCTGTGCAGGGCCCCACCCCCAGGCCTCAGTTTCCCCCTGACCCAGGTAGTGTGAGGGTGGGGTGGGGGCCTCCAGGAAAGGGACAACCTCGTGTTCTTTCTGAAACGAGGGTGTGGCCCACACTCTGGGAACAGAGCTCAGTCACGGCCAGGCTGGGTGGAGTCGTGGCATCCTGGTGCCAGCGGAAGACACTTCACACGCCACTCGGGCAGGCGGCTCCAAGCCTGGGGCCGCAGAGGGAGGTGCCCCACACTCTCTCCCACAGCGCATCTCACACCGCCTTTTGTTTCCTGACCCTCAGTGGGGGCCTAACTTCCCTGTGGGCACGCATGACCCTGGGGGATGCAGTCCACATCTGCTTTCCCCTCTGACCCTGGGCCCACAGTGTAAAATGGACGCGGTCATCAAGTTAAGCTGTTACATTAGCGCCCCTGGCCGTGATGGCGAAAGTGGCCATGTAACCCTGCCAGTGGGGGGCCCAGCCTGGCCAGCAGCTTCTCAGCATAAGTCATCCTTCCCTGGACTCCAGGCTTCCATTGCCCCCGGCCCAGGACCGGCTTGGACCCTAGATGAGGTCAGGCAAGGGCTGTTCCTGCCCCCCGGCTCCCGGTGCTGGGGGTACTGGTCAGTGATGGCTTTGGACCTCACATCACCAAAAGTAGAGCCCAGAGCCATCCTGACAACAGCCCCCAGGGTTTCCCAGCTGGACAGGCTCCCGCCTTCACCAGGTCGGTGTGGAGGGGAGGACACTGCACTTCTGCTACTCGGGTGTCCCCTCCGTCCGCCCCGCTGTTCCCACGCCACAAAGCCGGGGCCAAAAGCAGGGGCAGAGCACCCAGCGGACACCGGCCACACACGCCTTCATAACCACAGCGGATGCTCCCTGCACAGGCACCAAAGGCCTCACAGCCCGTGAGGGTGGCCACGGCCTCGGTGTGGCAGAAGCGGGCAGTGAGCTGGTTCCCACGCTCAGCCAGGGATGCGGCTGGGTCACATGCTGGCCTGGCGTGAACGAGCAATGAGGTGGGCAGAAGAGTGTCCCCCAAAATTCACGTCCACTCAGAACCTCCGAAGGTGACCTTATCTGAAAATGGGTCTTTGCAGATATAATTAAGGTGAGGCTCATGATGGCGTCATCCTTGATCAGGGTGGCCCTAAATCTAAGGACAGGCGTCCTTATGAGACAGAGAAGACCATGTGAGGATGGAGCAGAGACTAGGGGACACAGCCACGAGCCAAGGAGCTCCAGGAGCCACCAGGACGGAAGGAGGCAGGATGGATCATCCCCTGGAGCCTGCTGACACCTCGATTTGGGACTCTGGCTCCAGAACTCTGAGAATAAATTTCTGTCACTCTAAGCCCCAGTCTGTGGGACTCTGTTGGGCCACAGTCATCTTGCTTCCCACCTCACTTGCTGAACTCCATGGCCCCGAGGAAGTGGAAGGGACAGGGGCAAGCCTGGATGTCCTACCGTGGTGACCGTGAAGACCTGGGCTCAGTTCCTATGGAAACCTCGGAAGCCATGCCCCACCCCACAGCTCCAGGGGGTGAGGGGCTGTTAGAGGGCTGTGGGGGGAGGGGGACAAAGTGCATTACACCCACTGTGCAGATGGGGAGACTGAGGCTCCAGAGAGGGATGGGGTCAGCCAGGGCCTCACAGTCAGGGAGAGCACTGGCATGAGAATCCTGGCTGCTGACCACCTTATACCTCTTTCCTTCGGACGCCCTGGCCCTGAAGGGCCTCACCTTGATCTGCTCCCCGACAGCCTGCTTCTCCTCTCCTGTTCCCTATCTCGGGTCACGGCTTCACCCCAGTTCAAAACCCCCCGATGCGCTGACCCGCCTCGGTCCTCGTCCCCTGGCCAGCCCGGCCTGTCACCACCCTCCTTGTCCTCCCGCCTCCTGTCTTCCCCGGGCCCAGTCCAGCCGGCCTCTATTTCTCTTATGCCCTTTACCACCTGTCAGTCGCCAAACACCCCCCTGAGTCCTGCACCAGGCCAGGCCGGGGCTTCTCAGGGGACCCCAGAGCCAACCCAGACACCACCCTGGACCTCGAGCTGCTGGTGTCACTCTCTCAGGGACCTGCAATGGCACCTGTGGCCCAGAGGCCAAATCCAGCCTGGCTGCGAGAGCCCCTCCCCACAAGGCCCATCCAGCCTACCCAGAGCCGGGCCCCTGCACTGCACTGCACACCCGACCTCACCCACCGCCACGCCTTGGCCCACGCCGGTCCCTCCACCCAAGGGCCCTTCCTGACATCTCTGCTGCTGACTCAGACACACCCCCACAGGTCAGCCACCGGAGCTCAGGCCTCGGGGCCACCAGCGCCTCTGCTGCTCACTTTGGGCCCACTGTCCGCGTGGTAACATAGGCAATGTGAGCCCTTCCTCCCAGGGCTGTGGGCAAGCGCCTGCTCGGGACCTGAGCTACTGCAGAGCTTCAAGGGGTGGTGGCTCCATTGAGGGCTCAGTCGCACCTCCTTCTCCGGGAAGCCCTCCAATGCCTCCAGGTAAGTGCACAGTGCCTTCCTCTCCCCTCCCGAGGCCCAGACGGCACTCTGCCTGTGCCTGGAGAATGATGCCTATGTGCTGTCTGTGAGCTCCCTGGAGGCAAAGACTGTCTCTCATTCCTTCCCCATTCATTCACCTGTCCTTTCATTCATCAGTTTATTGGACAGTAACCTCATAACTGCCTGTTGCACAGCAACCTCCACAGCTACAAGGTCAAGTCACACCCTCGACCTGGCATTCGAGGCCTGTTCCGGGCCAGCCCAGGCTCCCTTCTCAAGCCCTGTCCCTCCCACCAGCCTGAACCGTTTGCAGCCCTCCCGCCAAGCACCAGCTCCTTCTGCCTCTGCTCTTCGCAGCTCTGGCATGTCTCTCAAGGCTCCACTTCACATCACCGCCTCCAAGAAGCTTCTGCTCTCTCTCGTGGGTCCCTGGGCTCCTGCTGCCCCGGGTATGGCCCCCAAACCCGTCACATAGACCCAGACAGCGCTGTGGGAGCTCCCGCAGCCAGGGCCGTGTCTTGCTCATCTCTGACCCTCACACCCAGCCTAGCACCTGAAACAGCAGGAGCAAGGGAGCGTTGGTTGAGTGAATAAGTGAGTGGCTGGTGGCCTCAGCTCTGGTCCCTGGGGCAGAGGGCCATTTCAACTCCTCTTTGTCTGGAAAGGCAAGCCTGTCCCATGCGCGCAGAGCTCCTCCGGCCCTCGAGCCCTGGGTGCAGCCCCCAGGGCTGGGGAGCCAGACCCAGAGAGGCGTTCCACTCGGCTGGCCGCCCTATCTTGGGCCATCTTGCCGCCATGAGGCCGTTCCTCCCAGCCCGGTATCTGGGGCCCTCATCTCCCTGCAGGCGGGACCGGGCTCGCCCTGACTTCTTCCCCAGTGTGTCCCTGCCTGCATGTCCTCCATTATCACCCGCCACATTGCATCCCACCCCATGCGTGAAGCCGGCTGCTCCTGCCTCCTGGGAACATCCCTTCCTCCAGTCTCTCATGCAATCTGAGCCAAAGGCCGCCTCCTCCAGAAAGCCTTTCTCAGCCTGTTGGCACAACCCCTCTGGGACCAGGGCAGGGACGTGGGACTGTGGCCCGGATCCCCAGCCAGGCCCCGCTCCCACCCCGCGTGGAAACAGGCGCCCTGTCCCATCCGTGCCGCCTGCCCGTGGGGGACTAGGGTCACGTCGCTTCCCACTCCCGGCCTCTGCTCACACCCCGCTGCAATGGGAACTCGAGGCCGCCTCAGAGACGGGCCAGGCGGGTGGGCGGCGAGGCCGTGCCCAGCACCCCCACCTCGCACCCTCGGGTCTCGCGTCACTGATTCCTGCCACCAGGAGAGGCGCCCAAAGCTCAGGGCGGTTGGGACCCCTGGTGCCGCGGTGGCCGCGCCCGCCCTACCTTCCTGCCGGCCTCGTTGTTGTGCAGGTTCATGAGGCGCCGTGCGTTCTTCTTGATCTCTCGAGCGTCCACGAAGCGCCGGGAGAAGTCGATGCCGTAGCGCACGTCGGCGGAGCAGCCGCCCCACTTCCAGCCCTCAGCCTGGTTGTAGTAGCCCTGCTTCTCGCGGTCGCACCCGCAGTTGCTCAGGTTGCCCTGGCTGCAGGCAGCGGTGACGGCGTGGGCCACGCCAGCCGCGGTGATGGCATACGTGAAGGCGGCCTCACGGCTCCCTGCGGGGAGGGGACAGAGTGGACAGGGAGGCCCTGCAGGTCTCCACCTGGTGGGCTCAGGGGACACAGGGCCAGGCCTGGGGTCTGCTGCTGGTCAGCTGTGTGACCTGGGCTCAGCACTTGCCCTCTCTGAACCTCTGTCTCAGCAAAGTGAGGCTGATGGAACCCACCTTGCAGGGCTGTGGTGAGGACAGTACCTGGTGTCCAGGGAGCGCTCAAGGAAGGCCACCAGTATGTCCCGAGAGCCTGAGCTGGACGGGCCCAGTTTCCCCAACCCTGGGAGACAGCAGGGAGGCCCCCGGGAGGGGCCGTGTGGGGTCCGTGACTCTGCCCCCTGCCCTCTGCCAGCCTCCCAGCGCTGCTCCTCACGCACCAGCCACTGGTGCTGACCCCCGTGGAGCAGCCCAGCCCACCAGCCAGGACCCAGGCAGAGTCCACACAGCTCAGAGCCAACCCTCCCCCTGCCCCAGGCTCTCTGCTGCTGCCTCCCTCTCTCTGACCACCCATCACCCCGTCGCCAGGCCCTGGCCTGCTGAGTGTGCCCTCTCCTCCAGCACCCCTGCCAGGCTCGGGGCCCCTGAACTGCCCAGACTTGGGTGCCAGTCCTCCCTGCCTCCCTCATTCCCCAGCCACCATCGGGCGGGCCTCCAGTGCAGGCACAGCTCCTTCCCCAGCACCTCTGCGGGCTCTCCTCTGCCTGAGCTGGGAAGGGAAGGCGGCAGTCCCAGCCCTGCCGGCCCCCCAGCCCTCTCCTCCCGACCCTCCACCCAAAACAGCACCACTCCTTCCAGGCTGCTCACGTGCTGCTGGGGGTGGGGGGGAGAGCCTGGCCTTTTGGTGAAATTCCCTTCCCTCTCATGCCCAAATCCCAAGAACCTTCCAAGGTGGGCTCCAATGGCCTCTCCTCCAGGCAGCCTTCCCAGACCACCAGCCAGAAGGGAGCCCTGGCTGGCTGACCTCCGTCAGTGGCAGATCTGACCCTCTCATTGCTCTGACACTGTCCACCTAGTAGCCCTACCACCGGGACTTCCTGGCTCCACGTGGGTCCAAAGCCCCTTAGACGGATGGGTCCAGCTCGAATTCCTCTTTGCTGTCCACAGCCCCCAGCCGGGCCCCCACGCATCCTGCCGTCCTGGCCCCAGCCTCTGGAGCCCCTCGTACCCTGCCCACAACCACCAATGTTCTCTTTGGGCCACGGCTGGGTCCGTCCCCAGCACCTGGCACTGGGGGCCCAGAGCTCAGGGACACCAGCTGGACCACAGCCAAGCCCGTGGCGGGATTCTCACTGCCCATCTCAGCCACAGCGAGGTGCAGCCCAGCCTTCAGTCCCAGAAGGGGCAACCAGAAACCCACGACACTGTCCTTGCACAAGCCCTGCGTCTGTGCCCTGCGAGGGCCAAGGTGCCCCTCCAAGTCCTTGGCTGCTGTCTCTGTTATTAGGGGCTGGGGTGATCCCCCCAGACTGAGAGAGGGCTGATGGTCAAGTCCATTCCATAACATCCATTGAGCACCAACTGCATACCCAGCCTTGTGCTGGGTGCTGGCTGTTTATTCTGAGTTCCACCTCCTCACCCAACAACCAGCTGGGAGGGGCTCATCTAGATGGGGCCCCTGTTCCCCTGGGGGGCTCACCCTCAGTGGGCCCCTATTCCCTGGGGGCTCATTTACATGGGGTCCCTCTTCCAGGGGTTTCTCCCATCTGGGGCAAAGACCAGGGTGGGACTTGCTGGTCTCAGGGGCCCAGGGCAGAGGAGGCTTGGGCTGCCATCAAGGAGGGGCCACAGCTTCCCGAAAACCTCCTTCCTCTGAGAAGAGCTGTGGGCAGGGTGGGGTGGTTGTCCCCTCCTCCCCGGAAAGACGGGTCTGCAAAGGGCACAGGGCAGCTCCTGCCTGCCCAGGGCCTTGCCGTGACCTGGCTCCAGCATCTCCTCCCCTGCGGGTCCCTCCTGCGCACACTCCCCCAACCCCGGGTCAGTGCACAGCCCCCTGGGGACTGCTCACCACACGGGCCCAGCCCCTCTGTCACTGCTCCATAAGAAGTGGCCCTTTAAGGAGCTCGGAGGAGCCCTGGTCTGGCCAGGGACTCCCAGACAGACACAGGGCCAGGGAAAATGTGGGACTCGACCTCCCGGCTCTAAATCAGCTGCAGACCGTCTGAAGAGAAGTCCATCGAGGGGGAAGTGGGTCATTGAACTCCTTACTGTTGGTGTTGGTGTTGCCTTAGCCCAGAAGGGCCTGCTGACAGGCTGGTGCGTGTGCGTGTGCGCGCGCACGCGCGCACACACACACACACACACGCAGGCACACACACGCAGGCAAGGGAAAAGTAAACTAGGTGGGGGATTCCAGGAAAGGAGGTGACCACTGGGCTCTGTGAGAAGGGGCACAGGGAGTCATGGAACCTCAAAGGATGCCCTGACCTGCCTCGTGAGAGATGGAGTCAGGGAAGGCTTCCTGGAGGAGGCGACATCTTAAGTAAGTCTTACCAAGACGTATGAGTTAACTCACCTGTGATGGGTGTGACTGACTGTGTGGTGTCCGAGCACGTACGTGTATGAGATGTGTGGGATGCATATGTGTGTATGGTAAATGCACACAGCTGGCCACAGCACAGCAAAGGTGTGAAGTGGTTTGGTGTTGCTGGAAGTACCAGGTCAAGGGTGACGAGGAGAGAGGCAGCCAAGGTCCCAGTGAGCTGGGTCATGAGAGGCCAGGGACATCCCGAGAAGCAGGTGCCGGGCCAGCCGCTGTAGGATTTTGATGTTAGCGCTCACTCTGGCTACACAGGGGATGGGGATTCTGGAACTATTTAGAAAGAGGTGAGCAGAGCTGTGTTTCCAACACTGTCGTTGCTGTCCCTGGCCAGCGCTCTCGGTGGGCCAGCCCCGCTCTAACCCCGCACACATGTTCTCAACGACTGTCATGACAGTTGTACGAGGCAGGTTTCATTGTTATTCCCAACTTACAGATGAGAAGACTGAGGCGCAGAGAGCTTATGAAACGAGGTATGAGTGGCTGAAGCAGGATTGGAACCCAGGCAGTGGAATCAAACCCCAGACAGGCAGAGGGAGGCACTCAGGGCCTGGGGCACAGGTCATCGGAGACCATCCTGTCCCCAGCTTGGCCCCTCTGCAGCCAAGTGACCTTGGGTGGGAGGAGACGGCAGAAGGCGAGCCGTGCGTGTGGAGAGCATTTCACGGAAACCTCCCTTCCGTCCTCTCTGCGAGGTCCTGCTCCCGCCTGGTTAAGCCCATACCCGGCTCAGACGCACGGTTACTCATCAGTTACTCACCGGGCCGCCACTCCCACTAATTCCTTCTTTATTTGGTTTTAATGGGCCAAACCCTCTCGTCTCGCCACGGAGACAAGAGGTGGTGAAAGGCAAGAGAGCAGTAGTTTGGGGAGAATCAAGGAGGATGACATCGGGTCCCGGATCGAGGGGCTCCCGTGTGCCCACACTCTGTACGCGCATCTCATTTACTCTCACAACAGCCCCACAGCAGTCGGCGGTGGTTCGGGACGGGGACCACAGCCCCGTTCTACAGACCTGGATACTGCCTTGGAGGGCTTCCCAACCCGCCCCAGGTCACAGTGTGCCCGACGCGGTGCGGGTAGATGGTTCCCTCCCAAAATCACTCCTGGGCCATCTTGCCAGTCCCCATGCATCGCCTGTACATCCTCCAAGTTGAAAATGAGCGAGTGCTCAGGTTTAGAAAGAAGCTCCTCGAACCCGTGGGCCATGCTCAGCCACCATCCACGGCTCCCCAGGCCTCTGAGAGGACCTCAAGCTCTGGAGGCCTGACCTCATCTGTCCCCACCCACCGCTCCCTACAGCTTAGCTTGGCCAGGCCGGACAACAGGCCCACCTGTGGGCAGGGGCAGCCCCCTCCAGCACATATCACTATCTTTGCAGAGCGGGCTGGTGCCCTGCTGCCAGTCCTAGCGGATGCTGGCCTTCTCTCCACCGGGAATGCCTGCCCGTGTCCCCACGCGTCCACAGCTTCCCCAGGCCCTGGACGCAGCCGAGATGCCTCCTGCTCTGGGAACCCTGTCAGGGTGAGGCCCCCTCCACTGGGCTCTCGTGCGGTGAGCCGCAGGCTGCAGGGATGGTGGGCAGGACCCACGTCTGACTCTGTCGTGTGCCTCCAGCAAGGCTGCTTCCCGAGTCCTGCACACGAGCAGGTCCGCGGTGGACAGCTTCCTGGACTTCCCCTCCTTCGACCTGCATGACGCCCCCTGAACAGGTCCTCGAGGGGACCCACCTCACAGGAGGCACGTGATTTGCTCCAGAGGGGGCTGCAGCAGCCGTCTGAGCCCCCGGCTGCTGCAGGAGTGCCTGGCAACGGGGCTGGGGAGCTGGATGGAGGCAGCAGGGATGGTCTGATGGGGCCAGCACCTGTCCTGGGGGCTCACTTTGGTCTTGGGGGGGTCTGGGATCCAGAGCCCACCCCAGCACGGATCTGCACCTGCAGACACCGGAGCGAGCAGTGGTGTCTGGCAGCATCCCTGGAAAATGCCGGAGACAGGCAGGCAGCCTGCACTTTGGCCACCCCATCCCACAGCCCTCGTGAGCCCTGGGCAGGTCCCTGAGCACACTGGCCCACTGTTTCCAGAGCAGCCTGTCTCCGGCGCCCGGCAGGGCAAGGTGAGCACCATTAGCCCTGCAGTTCCCCGCCCTGAGGTTTCGGGAAAACAGAGAGGGTGGTGCCCAGAGACTTGGGAGGAGTGGGAGGGGAGCACTGGACCTGGAGTCTCACAACCGCTGTGTGGCCCCAGGCAAGTCACAAACCCTCTCTGAGCCCATATCCCCATCTGCCAAGTGGGGCTCGTAGTCCTCACCCCGCCCCATGGCCCAGGAGCAGCTCTGAAAGCAAATAGACAAATGGACATTGCCCTCACCATCCCCAAATGGCAAGTGAGCCAGGCCTGGCCGGGGACCAACCGCGTGTAGCGCAGGGCTCCCAGGACTGGCCCGCACAGCTCTTTGTGCTCATCCAGAG